CGCGGGCTGCCCCTGCACCCCGAGTGGGCTGCCCTGGCTGAAAAGCAGCTGAAAGGCAAGAATCCAAAGGATTTAATTTGGCGTACCCCGGAGGGCATCGACATCAAGCCCTTATACTCCAAAAGGGACACGGAGGATCTCCCCGAGGAGCTGCCAGGGGTGAAGCCCTACACTCGAGGGCCTTACCCGACCATGTACACGTACAGGCCGTGGACCATCCGCCAGTATGCTGGCTTCAGCACAGTGGAGGAGAGCAATAAGTTCTACAAGGACAACATTAAAGGTAAGGCAGCTGATTTGGGAAACAGCATCGCCTTGTGAAGCAGTGTGGGAGATTCATGGGATGGATTACATGGCAAATGTATGGTTTCACCACTATGAGGGTGGTGAGGCACTGGCACAGGCTGCCCAGAGAGGTGGTGGAGGTCCCAGCCCTTGTGACATTCAAGGTCAGGCTTGATGGGGCTCTGAGCAACCTGATCTAATTGGGCATGTCCCTGCTTACTGCAGGGGGGTTGGCCTAGATGACCTTTCGAGGTCACTTCCAACCCAAAGCTTTCTATGATTCTATGAAATGGGATTATTTCACCTTGTGAGTTGTGGTTACTGATAGGGTCTTCCCAGTCACGCTGTATTTCTTTATTCCTGGGAAATTGGCTCATTGCTGAAATTGCCTTTGCTTCTCTTTGCTATTGAGGTGGAAAAATGAATGTATTAAATGCTATTTTTAGTTATTGAGCCTTAACACTTAGAGATACATAATTTGGCTGCATCCCAGGGTGCAGCCAGCAGAGATCACAGAGCACTTTACACTCATTCTGTGACCATGAGAGAAGAAGGTAGTGGGAAAAAATGTCAAACTTTGTCACTTGGCTGAACTTGTGTTGTTAGGGTGTTCTGACATTTTGGGTTTCCATCTCATGTTATAAATTTTAAGTGAACTCATGGTGTCATTTAAGTCATTCATGCTGTATTAGTAAAACCAGCTTCCTAAAAATGTTGGTATTTTCCTTACTTGTGAGTGGTTTTCCCAATATTTCTGCAGTTTGTTTAGCTAACAGCCCAAGTGTCATCATAACATACTATTGAATGGGACATTGGAAAATCACTGCTAAAAAGGGGTTTTTGATAGACTGTTTGCAAAAAAACATTTCAATAGAAAGCTTGTTCTGAATTCTCTCTGTCATGCTGCTGAGTATTGCTGCTGAAGCAGAAGTACTAACACTTGGGTTAGCTGGTGCCACAGCTCAGTTACCCAAAAATGGTTGCTAGGAGCTCCCATCCCATTCCCTGCTCTACAGGAATAACTTTCTCTTACTGCAGATTTACTAATGCATTATTTTTCTTTATGAATCAACAACACATGTCACTAGAGCCAGGGTAACAATCTGTGTGTGCATGTTGGATTTGTGATAGAGAGCAGGTCATGTGATGTAGTTTAGCACACTTGTTTCCAGCTAAGCTGAGCAGAATTTCTGTACATAAGCCCCTGATACTGTCTGTCAGAGCACATTTCTAACCTGGGGCTAAACTGTTACTCACTAATTTGTTAAGCACATGGCTGAGCTAGAAGGACTATGATATTTCTTTCTCAGTTAAAACCTTTTTCATTTAAAGTTTAAGACTAGAAGACCTTGGATAAGTTTGGGGAGTGAATCATGTTTAACATCAAAAACTGTTTTGTCATCCAAGCCTGGATCATGTAAAATAAAAATACTGAATTTAGATCCAGTTCTAATACAAGTTCTGAATCTCTCTTTGTTGTTTTTGGTTTGTTTGGTTGTTTTTTTTTTTCCATTTAGCTGGCCAGCAGGGATTATCTGTTGCCTTTGATTTAGCCACCCACCGTGGTTATGATTCAGACAACCCACGAGTTCGAGGAGACGTTGGGATGGCTGGAGTTGCCATTGATACAGTGGAAGACACCAAAATCCTCTTTGATGGAATTCCTTTAGAGAAAATGTCTGTGTCCATGACTATGAACGGGGCAGTCATCCCCGTGTTGGCAAACTTCATTGTCACTGGAGAAGAGCAGGGAGTGCCCCAGGCCAAGCTGACAGGGACAATCCAGAATGACATCCTGAAGGAGTTCATGGTCCGAAACACCTACATCTTCCCCCCAGAACCATCCATGAGGGTTATTGCTGACATCTTCCAGTACACCTCAAAGGTAATCACTGGTTAAATGTATTTACTTCTCCTCTTACAGCTAGGTAACTGTTTATGAGGCACTTTGGAGAATGAAGCAGAAGACAGGAAGGCTTGTCATAATGAAGAATGCTGTGGTTGTGGAAAAGGCCAGGAGGAGAAGATCCCAAATCACTTACATCATAAATTTTAAGACTTTTAAGTCAGTCCAAATCAAAGTCAGGCTAAGATGAGTCTAAGCCCAAGTGGATGGCAGGAAGCTTGGGTGAGGAACAGACAGGCTGTTCTTTGCATAGAAAGCAAGAAGCCTTATAATTAAGAAGCACTATATAGCTGTAAGCAGGAGCAAAGAGGCAAGAAATCTGGAAGAACTTCTGCTGCAGAATTAAGCATGAGAGGAGAGGATGAAAGGAGTGAAGTCCCAAAGTGATGACTGGAAGTTCAGGACTAGCAGTTGTTTTCTCAGTTGTGTTTTAGTTGGAGAGGTGGCACAGAGCCAGTGATTGAGGAAGATCCTCACCATGGTGGGTGACAGTTTGAATAGCACAAGTAGGTAAAGGCAGGAGAACTGCACATCTGCAAGCACCACTTTAGTAGAGCTGGGTCATATCTGCAGTCTACAAAGAATGGATTGTGTATGAACATTGACAGAACTGTTATCTCCCCCCCCATCATACCCTGGTTTTTGTTTCTGCAGTATATGCCAAAATTCAATTCCATTTCCATCAGCGGGTACCACATGCAAGAGGCAGGAGCTGACACCATTCTGGAACTGGCTTACACTATAGCAGATGGCTTGGAGTACTGCAGAACTGGCCTCAAAGCTGGCCTTACCATTGATGAATTTGCACCAAGGTGAGCTAAAGCAACTTGCAAGTATAAAACTCAGTTTTGGTAAACCCTCCAGAGTTTAATGTCAAATCCAGTCTTTTTACACGTACAGGCATTATTGGCAGTGCTCACATTGAAGATTTATTTTGGTTTCATTATGTAGTTTCAGCAGTAGATAAATGTATCTGGTCCAACAAACACCCTCCATCTAGGTTAATAAAACTGAATAAAGCTCATGCAGAAGCACAGGCATTGTCAAGGTCTGTTGTGACAACTGTGTCATCTCTGAGCTGTTATACCTAATACAGTTTTAGGTTAAGGGCTGCAGAGTGCAGCAAGAGCTCTTGCAGTTCTTTTATGCTGTACTGTTACTTAATTCTTTTCATTGGTATTATTTTAAAATATTTGGGGAAAATGGTTAACAAGGGGAGTAAGCAAAAGAAGTGGTTTCGTGTAGGCTGTTGCACATCCCAGTGACAGGAGTCAGCTGAATTAACCCATTTCCAACACCTGTGGCAAAATCAAAGTGAATCTTGTAGAAAAAGACAGTCTTATTTTCAGACTTTCTAGTGCTGGGGAATCTTTAAGAGCATTTGACAAGCAAATTTCAGTACCTAATGCACTATTCAAAAGTGTATCTAGTGTAATGAGTTTTACTGGATTTAACTGTGCATGTTTACATTTATAGATCATAGGAGCTATAAGTTGGGAAAAGTAGATCAGTCAGTCTGTTCCCTGCCATGCTATCCACTATTGAACTGATGCTGGATTTGTATTTTGATTAAAATCATCAAGAAAATGATGAAAGCATGCTTTTAATATGTGATGTCTTCTCATTATAAAGAGTCTGTGAGCATAGCTACAGTAACAGATTGTCTCCAGAAGCATTCCCTGGCACTACAGTGTCTGTGTTAGTGGCTTACTGGAACCTTGCTTGACCTGAGGCTCCCCCAGAACAGTCCCTGGGAACAGTTGAGCAGTTCCAGGGACCACTGTTGCTGGCAGTTTGCCTGAAGGCACCTTCTTGGGGGGCTAAGTCAGTTTATTGGCATAACTGTGTATCATGCTTAGCAACTGGCAGGGGTGTCCAGGAACATTCCCATCATCTTATGTCTGATGAATCAGAGACTTTGCTGTAGGACTTCTTTACTGAAACAGAGTTATTAGAATGGTTTAATGTTTTATCCTGTTTGTGTGCTCTTATTACAGGCTCTCCTTCTTCTGGGGAATAGGCATGAACTTCTACATGGAAATAGCCAAGATGAGAGCTGGGAGGCGGCTGTGGGCTCACTTGATAGAGAAAATGTTTAAGCCCAAGGATGCCAAATCCCTTCTGCTGAGAGCTCATTGTCAGACTTCAGGCTGGTCACTCACTGAGCAGGTTAGAAATTGGACTCTCATCAACTCCCTCATTTAAGTGTGGTGATAAGCTGAGCCTCAGTGCTTAACTTTTCACTCGCTGGCTTCATTTTGTTCTGGAATTATTGTGTTAAGCATACGTGCTCCCAGTCTAGTGGATACTGAATTGAGAGTAGGACCCAAACCTGCTAAATAGAGACAGAATTGCAGAGAGGTGCTTACATTAATTCAGGACTCAGGGGATGAAATGTTCTCTTGGATTTGTTCTGGAAGTTATCCTTTCAAAATGCAGCTCAGTGAGGAAGCAGAGACATGTTTTTCTCAGGATCTGAGATTCTGAATCTCTGTGCACTCTCTGCTCTTCCTGGATTGTATTTTCCCAAGTGAGGTCGGAGCTGGGTTCCAGCTCCTGTTCCAAGGCCTGCTTCTCAATTGAAGTCATGCCCTAGAAGTTATTTTTAGGTTGTGATTGCAACTGTCTTTATGTGACTTCTGTGCTTTGGTTTTATTCCCCTTTCCAAAGTAAATGTAAAGTTTACTTACATTACAGGAACACAGTAAACTAAACCAATGGAATTTTCTAAACAGTGGCCTTTCTGGGTCCTCCAATTAAAAGTATTGCATGAATGCAAAAATATTAGTATTACCAAAAATATGGTCAACCATCTTCCAGTGTAACTGTGTTTCTGACTGGATCATAACCCTTTTTTCCTGTCTAACCATTATTTATCTTTGCAGAGCTCCTCAGTGCCTAGTGGTTGCTCCTTGTAGCTTTCAGAGGGCAAATACATTTTCCTTTGGCCTGCCTTTAGATAGGTATCCACTCATAAATTAACTTTACAGTCTTACTCATCCAAATCACATTTTTCTATCATTGTTTAAATGGAATACTTGAACCAGAAACAGACTCAAGTGTAGGTAGAGTTACTGTGTCTCTGTAAAACAGTGATATTAATTCCACTTCTGTGTGTTTCCTCACTCCATCTCAGGATATAAGTCCCCCCTGGAGACCATGCTAACTTGCTAACTCCTTTTTGACTGAAAGGGAACATAGGTACAACTCAACTGTCCAGATGTCTGAAAAGACCGGATAAAAACGTTGACCTGAAGGCTGAGATGACATTCTGTAACACTGATTCTGTTCGTGTACTCTCTGCTCCAGATTCGTAGTTTGTTTTGGTTAATATCCCAGTTCTGCCATAGCTTTCCTGCAGTTTTGAAGCCCAGCCCACTCCAGGTGTAACACCTGCTCTCCCTGCAGGATCCCTTCAACAACGTGATCCGCACGACGGTGGAGGCGCTGGCGGCCGTCTTCGGGGGCACCCAGTCCCTGCACACCAACTCCTACGACGAGGCCCTGGGCCTGCCCACCGTGAAGAGCGCCCGCATCGCCCGCAACACGCAGATCATCATCCAGGAGGAGTCGGGGATCCCCAGGGTGGCAGACCCCTGGGGGGGATCCTACCTCATGGAGTGCCTCACCAACGACGTCTATGAAGCTGCTTTAAAGGTCACTTGGCGTCATCTTTTGTGTTTTGTGGGAAAATTTTAAGTCTAGTTTTGAGAATTGTCCTTTAAGGGACTATTTGATAAGTTGGTAACTTCTAAAGAGCAAATTATTTTACTTTTATTTCAACCTGTGATTCTTTTCCTTGGTGTTTCACTGGGTCCCATACCAACAGTCTCTCAAGGTTGCTTATTTACTAAATTTGAAGTCCCACTGCTGGTGTCCACAGTAAAGACATGGTGAAGATCACATTTCAGTCCTCCACTCAGCCCTTTTCTCTCCCACCACCATCTTCATCCATCGTTTTCTCCTCATTCCACCTATGGCTCAGAAGAGGTCTCTCTCCAGATGCTACTTTTAGCCTCTGGTGCTGAATCTGGCATAGAATCACAGAGTGGTAGGGGCTGAAAGGGACATCAGGAGGTCATCTAGTCCCACCCCCTGCTAAAGCAGGGTCACCTAGAGCAGGTTGCACAGGATCCCATCCAGGCAGGTTTTGGATTTCTTGTGTTTTTTTCTTCAGCGGTTTCTTTGTAAATAACCTTTACATAAATACAGTGTATATTTAGAGAAAGAGAAATAAAAATAAGCATTCTATTAGGCTACACTCAAAAGAGAAATATCCCTGTGTAGAACAAATAACGAAGCCCTGCAGAGTCCCTTGCACACTTAATCCTCTAAATTTGCTGGGATCTCTATTTTATATGTAAGAAAAAAAGAATTCAACAGAAGAATCATAGAATAGTTTGGGTTGGAAGGGGCCTTTAAGGGTCATCTAGTCCAACCCCTGTGCTCATTGCCCTTTCTGAAATCATGAACCACCTTCCTGTCCTCCATGTGCCTCAGCAGAGCTTCTAGGAGGATCTGTTCCATGATCTTCCCAGGCACAGAGGGGAGGTTGACAGGTCAGTAGTTCCCAGGGTCCTCCTCTGTTACTTTTTTTGTTACTTCTTTTGTTACTTCTTTTTTATTCTTTTTAAACACGAGTACAATGTTTGCCTTTTTTTGCAGTCACCAGGGACTTCACCTGAGTGCCAGGACTTTTCAGACATCAAACCAACATGCCTGGGATGATCTGCTTGAGACTTTAAAACTAGAGGTTATTGGAAGCTAAGTTATTTAGCCAAGCCTGTAGGCAGACAATTATCTGGTCATAAAAGAGTATTATACAGAATTTAGGAGAAATTTTTCTACTGGATCAAAATATTTATTTTTTAAATAATGTTTGTAGCTGCCAATCATTACTTGCATGTGGAAAGTACTAGGCAAGTACTTTTGCTGTGTGAGAGCTGAACCATTCCATGCCACAGGTCTTCAGGATCAGAGAACTGACCCTGGCTGCTTCAATTGGCTTGTATTTGTATACGTGTAACCATGAGGGCTGGCTGGCAGGCAGGAGTCAAGTGCAGAGTCAAGGTCTCAAATTTTAAATCTCTTCATCCCTGAGTGGTACTGGTTGAACAATGTGTGATGCACTGTTACTGAATTAATGGAGTTTTGGTAATAAAAATGCTCTTCTGGCAGAGATGTCTCTGAGTTGATATGAAAACCTGTAGTCAGAGACACAGAGATAGGAAACACACTTTTAGAGCACAGGACTGCATGTATAGAGATAATAAAAATTTGGGTGGCAGTACAAGTGCAAAGCTTATTTTGTGAACCTTTCTCCTGCTTTCCCAATCCTCTTCCTTTCTCAGCTTGTTGAGGAGATAGAAGAAATGGGTGGAATGGCCAAAGCTGTCGCTGAGGGGATCCCCAAACTTCGTATAGAAGAGTGTGCAGCACGAAGACAAGCCAGGATTGACTCTGGTAAGGAGCAGGGAGATGAAAGAAGGGAAAACTCTCAAAGGAATACCTTTGTACAAAAGTTTTTTCCACACATTTTCATTGTTTTATTTCCTTCTTTGTTCAGAAGTAGCAGATTGTGATAAGAGTAGTTGTGGGTTTATGTCAGTGACAGCTTCTGGAAAGAAATATCAGTATGTATGAAGTGCAGCACCAGTATGGAAACAGTCTTGCTTCATATATTTAAAAACATAATAGAAAGTCACTAGAAAGACTAATTTAAAGGAGTATTTGGGGCGTTCAATAGTTAATTGGTTAGTTTCTCGTGGTGTCTTTAAGCTGGGATTCCCGAGTTTAAAAGCGTGCCACCAGCAGGTGGCAATAACGAGCGTGTCCGCCCACAGCCCTGGGTTTGTGGAGAGCTGCCCCTTTTTCCTGGAGACCAGAAAACATGCAGTCACCTCAGAGCAGAGGATGATGCAGCTCTTTGTTTGTGACACATGCATGTGTATACATATTGTAAGTACATGTGAAAATATGTGTACATGTGTCTGCAGAGCTTATAGCTCTGCTTTTTGTAGTCTACATTCCAGTAACAGTCCAGTAACAGAACCTAAGAATAACTCAGACATGAAAGAAGTTACATGAAATCTTTTGTTTGTTGGATAATTTGAAGGAGGTCTTTAATTAAGACCAATAAAGAACAATCAATAAAGTTCTGTGTTTTCTTTCCCAAGGCAAATTACTTCACGTTGCTTTGAAGGCTGTAGTAATGTTACTGGGCACTGCAAATAAAAATGATTGTAAATTCCATACTGGCTGAAAGCTAAAATACAGTTTTCCAACATGATAAATTAATTTTTATTCACATGGAGTAGTTTTAGGTAGGAACTTCACTTTCTTACTTATCTGGTAAATAAAAAAAGTGAACGCAGAGTAGTGCAGGAGACCAGCACTTCTGCTTAATTCTGTAAGATACAGTTATGTGAACTTAAAAAGAGGAAAATAAGTAATATATATTAGTGAGCCATTACTAAATCAGTTTGTAAGATAAATATTGTTATATTTCAAATCTTTGTTCTGGGCCAGTACTCACTGAGTCGAATGCCCACACATCTAATCATCTCTCCTTATAAAATACAGAAAATTAAGACTTAAATCATCCCTCTAAGAGTAAATTTTAAGTATTTTGAATGTAGACAGTTACAAAGCAAAATGCTGCACTCTTCCTCAAAATTTTCTTGTCCTATTAACATTGTGTCTTTTCACAGTAGCTTGTAACTGTATACTGAGTTTCTGGTGTTTCCACTGGAAATAGGGTCTGAAGTGATTGTTGGAGTAAACAAGTACCAGCTAGAAAAAGAAGAGACAGTTGAAGTTCTGGCTATTGACAATACTTCAGTCCGTAACAAGCAGATTGAGAAGATCAATAAGGTGGGAGGAACCTTCTTAAAGATGAAAATTCTTGTGATTGCAGCTAGAACTTGCCTAATACTAAGGAAAAGTGGCCTTCCAGAAACTTGAGTCTCAAATTTCTGACAGTCCACCCTAGTCTTTAGCAGAGAAGCTGGATTTCTGTTCAGCTTCAGTGGAGGCTGATGGAAAATCCCAAGAAACACAGTATTAGAACCCAAACAAAAATGGTTCTGTTAGGTTCATTTGGGTTTAATCATTGTATTTCAAATAGTCTCATGAATATGCCTAACATTTCAAAATTGAGAACTCTACATTTTCTGAAAATAAGATAGAAAATAGCTATGCAGTGTTTCACCCTGAAGTATGTAACTACTTAACCACTCAGACTGTTCAATGTATCTTGCCAAGTGCTATGGGACAGGGCTATGGAACCAGCAGTTGACATCCACTTTGTAACTAGTGGAAATGTAGATAAAATGGTTTCAGAGTTATTTAATGCACATTTTAAGGTCTGAGACACTTTTTTACATCTAATCTTTTTGAAATATATAGTATATATTGGCAATTGGCAATTCCATGCCTCCAGAATGAATAGGTGAAATCAGAAACACATTCAATTTCCCATTCACCTGGTAGCTTGTTTTAAGCTGATATTTTTCTCCTCCACTTTAGGTGAAGGCTACTAGAGATCAAGCAGCAGCCCAGCAGTGTCTTGATGCACTTACACAGTGTGCAGCTACTGGGGAAGGCAACTTACTTGCACTTGCAGTGGAAGCAGCACGTGCAAGGTAGGGGGTGGAGCTGAATATCCAACTGCTGTCTGAAAATCAACAGTTCATCTTTCAGCTGTCCTTGGGTATGATGTCAGTGAGGTTGGTGCCTTGAGATGTTTTGGGTTTTTCTTCTGAGGTGGAAGTAAAAGATGGCTGCAGTCTGATGTTGTGAGAAGGACTATTACATTTTGCAGTCTCTTAAGACTGCTTTCATTCCTCACAGAGAATACAGATACAAAGAATCTCATATGAAATTATGTTGTTCATGCACATTGTGTTGTGCATGACTCTCACCGGTTTAGTTTCAGGACTGGGTTTCTGTGTGACCCTGTTCCTTCACAGGTCACAGAGCTTAAGAAGTGTCTGAGATGTGAGAATGGATATTGACAATCTTACCATGGTCTATTGCTTCATCCTTCCTTGCACCATAGAATGGTGTGAAAACATTTTTTGATTCAAAGAGAAATAAGTTTACTTAGCCAGGAGAAGATGTAAAAGATGCTGTTGAGTAGAGCAGTGAAGTAGTCTTTAGAGTCCAGTGAACATTTACTTTTGTCACCTAAGATTCTTATTTTAAAACCATTTTCATTAAAACTAAGTCAGCATCAGTCTCTAGAACAGGTCACATCTGTCTGTTCCTTGATTAACTTAATGCCCCAGAAATGAGCAAACCAAATTCACTCCTTCTTAGGGCACTGTTCTGTTTTTACTGTGATGTCTCAAATTTCTTCATTCCCTTTAACACTTAACAGCTATATTTTGAACACATTTTCTCCCACAGAGAGCTTGTCAGAATTCTGCCAGCAGCATGTCTACACCTGTCTTTGAACTGCAAAACTCACAGGAGGGTACAAAATTGACCAGAAACTAGCAGTTCTAGTTTCTCTCCTTGGTGACCTTGTTTTTATTATTTGTAAAAGTGTTAATGGACTGTGGATCCACTTGGTAAGGTGCAAACACAACACTTACCTCTGCCCCCAAACCATGTGTGGGACAGGACCACAGAAAGAAGTTTCCATGGCATTGGATAATGAGTGTTTGAAGGAGGATTGGGAGCTCTGTAAACATTTACAGGGAGCCCTTCTGCTAGGGGCAACAAGGGAAAAGGTCTCAAGTAAGCACATGGATCCTTCACAAACAGTGTCATAGAATCATAGGATAGTTTGGGTTGGAAGGGGCCTTTAAAGGTCATCTAGTCCAATCCCCCTGCAGTCAGCAGGGACATCTTCCACTAGGTGCCTGGAAACATTCCAGGTAAGGCTGGACAAGGCTCTGAGCAACCTGCTCTAGTTGCAGATTTTGAATCCGAGTCCAAATGCAAGATCTTGCTGCCTGAGCCCCCAAAAAATGCCCAATGGAGAAAATTCTATTTAATTTAATGAAATACTATGTCACGCAGTGGTCCTGATTGCTTTGTCACTTGTCAAATCACTTCTCACATCAGCAAAACAGTATTTTCTTAAAGGTACTCTTGCATGTTTCATTACAGGATGAATGTGGAGTGACTCAGATGTTGCAGCACCAAAGGGGAAACGAGTGTGAATGAATTTGTCCTGCAGCAAGGCAAATAGCTGGGCCTCTGCCAGGGATTTCTGTGTTCTGTTTTCACAGAAGCCTGCTGCAGCATTCATGCTTTGTGTCTGTGTCTCAGGTGCACTGTTGGGGAAATCACAGATGCAATGAAGAAGGTGTTTGGGGAGCACAAAGCCAGTGACCGAATGGTGAGCGGAGCTTATCGCCAGGAGTTTGGGGAGAGTGATGAAATTCTTCACGCCATCAACAGGTGAGAGCAGCTCCCAGGAGGCCACACACAACCTCACATTTAACCCGTGGGATACATGGGCTACTCATTGAGCTCTAATAAAGTGTCTCCCAAACCTGAGTGGCATCCCCAGAGCAAAGCAATGACCTGCATTGGCACTCTCAGGCCTGTTAGCAAGGAAGCAGAATGAGGAGAAAGAAGTACAGTGAGAGAATGGTCAAAGCTTCATTGAACTTGCAACTTAATTGCAACTTAATTGAGGTGACATGACTTGAGGATTTTGTTCCAACAGGCTGTGCAGCCATAGGATTAAGAAGGTGAGAAACATTGCCTGAAATCCCCATACATTGGATTGCTTCTTTTGAAGATTGTGTAATAGTAATTTATAAAATATTTCCAGTAATTCATATGTACAAAACCTGGGTTTGATCTGTCCATAAGTTGTCCCTCCAGCTTCACTCTTACTGTTCCTAAAATTGTAAAGCTAAAATCTCTCTGGATATCCACATAGAACATCTAGTCTGTGGGTGTTACTTACTCATACCACAAGGGAGCAAACATCAGAAGATGGTAATATGTGTGAAAACAGTTGCCTCTTTGTGCCTTTTTTTTTTGTCTGGTGCCTTTGCTGCTGTCCTCTCGGGTCAGGAGACTGAACTGCTGCAGTGGGTGGTGCTGTCAGATGGATTCGTGCTCCTACCTCCCTGCTGTGTTGAGGCTTGCACATTAAAGAGCTACAGGATCTCTTAAAAGGGAGTTACCTGATAGCTTCACAATGGAGATGTTTAGCTTGACCTGGAAGTAGCTGTGCTGGGGAGTGGCACTGTTGTTTTTTGTTTGGAGTTGAAGTGTTTGTGATTATGCATTTCCATGAAACTGGACTGATTCCTTGAGAATCAAGATGTAACTCCCTCTTTTACATTCCTGCCTTACCACTCCAAGGTCACATGTACCAGTTAGTAAACAAGGTCATGAAACTGGATTTACTCTGTGTCACCTTTGCATAAGCCTTCAGAAGTGTGATTTTTAATTTGCCCCACTCAGAAACCAGACCAGCTGAGTGGCCTTAGCCTGGCAGGCTTGGAGCAGCTGTTCTCCTTAGGAGGCAGCCTGTGGGTGGGGAAGTAAGAAAACAAGAACGTGGAAACAGAAAATAATACAGTGAAAAGCATGTAAAGATAGCACAGATCAGTTCAGAGACCTGCTTCAGTGATGCTCTTAGCAGTCCTTAGGAACAGGGGAGGGAGGCCTGACTTCTGTACATCCTCAAGCAGAAGCTGTCAGTCTGCTTCTTCAGGCTTTCTTGACACAATTCATTTTTAAGCTCTCAGAATTCTTATTTTTTCCCCACTTATATGATGCATATTCCTGGCCTGGCATCAGCTCCTGAGGCTGTTCAAATACTGATAAATATTGATTGAGAGTAATTTTTTTCCCCAAACTAAGCCACTGGATTCATACAGTGCTCTCCCAAACCAGGTCAGCATATGGATTCAAGGCACACCACATCCATACAGCTCCATCATGAACAGAATGCTCAGATACTAAAAGAAAAAAACAAAAACCAACCCAAAAGCTTTTATTTCTGAGAAGCAGCAGTCTTAGTGTCCCACTCAAAGACAGGTAGTAGTGTTACATAGATAATGAGAAGTAAGATGCAAGATCAATCTCTGATGCTGTGATGACACAGTCACTGTAGTACAGCAGAAAGAAGAACTTCCAGTCACCAGAGAAGGGGAGGCACAGGACTGGGAGCACAGAATGGGAGTGTGGTAGATCCTTTTCTACACAGACTCATGCCCAGCTGAATGTTGATGCACAGCATGATCTCTGAGACCTATCTCTATAACCTGTGTGCCATATAAGTGCTGTTGAAATAATTGGTCACAATTCTTAAAATCTAAAACCTGTGGCTTAGTTAGTTGTAATTCAGGTCATTAAACCCTCAGAGAGTTCAGGATTTTGTCCGTCAGAAAGCAGAAAAGCAGTGGAGTGGTTTTCTTTGAAAAAGCATGTTTTATTGTTGAGGTTAGTAAATACCAGCAATCCATTAGTAACCAAATAACAGGACTATTAACACTGTATGCAGATTACACAGACAAACCCTGACTGGGGAGGTCTTTTTATCTGATGTACAGAAATCACACTGCAGTTGCAGCCAGTGCTTCTTCATTCATTTGTGGGAAGACCTCTGATGGTTCTCAGTGACTTACAGTGATGCTCTGTGTGTTTTCAATCAGGGTTAACAAGTTCACGGATCGTGAGGGGCGCAGGCCTCGCATACTGGTTGCAAAGATGGGTCAAGATGGCCACGACAGAGGAGCTAAAGTTATTGCTACAGGATTTGCAGACATTGGCTTTGACGTGGACATAGGTCCCCTCTTCCAGGTACGACTGACTGAGCGGTGCCCAGTGTATTTCAGATGACCCTTTTTCCCCTCTAATGCTTGTTCAGCAACCCAGCTGGAGCTGTTTCTTGTCCTGGAACCCTCTTTCCATGCAGACTCCTCGAGAAGTGGCCCAGCAGGCGGTCGATGCAGATGTGCACTGTGTTGGTGTGAGCACGCTTGCAGCAGGACATAAAACTCTTGTGCCTGAACTCATCAAAGAACTCAACGCCCTTGACAGGCCAGACATTCTTGTCATGTGTGGAGGTGTCATCCCACCTCAGGTACGGGTCAGCATCATTGCCACCAAGACCAGAGACTGCTGTATTTCTGTCTGTGCTGGGTTTATCTGTGGTCTGTCAAAGTCAGGGGTGATTCACAGCGCTGAAGGCCACTGTGTGCAGTCACCAGGGTCAGCACAGATCTGCAGGATGGTCTCAGAGTCCTGTCAGCTCTCATTGATCTGGTTTCCTGTACAGCATGTCCTGGTTTAACTCACAGTGTTTCTTGGGTGGAATATTAAGTTGTGTTGTGAAAACACGAGCCTCAGGGAGATGTTCTTTATGCCCTAGCATTTCCAATTACCTTACCTTGTGTATTGCTGATAAAGGCTAGTTCCTGTCTGAAGAGACTTTTTGACTTCAAGTAATAGTTCTGAAGAGGCACAGGTAGTGACAGACACGGGGCAGGTCCCAGCACCTCTAGGCTACACATCTCATTGACTGTTTGTCCTCTCCTCCTGTTCCCCATCGTCAGGCCTCAGCGTTGCCTCCTTCCCCTGCCTGACTATTTCTCCTAAACTGTTGAACAATTTGTCAGATTCCCTTGCAGTGAGATCTGTGCTCTTGTCTTTAAATCTCCCTGAGCTCACCCACACTGTGCCTGGCTGGATCACCTTTAGGCTTATCTTCTCTCTAGAGAGATTCAAACTGATTTTGCGTGTAACTCTCCTGTTACTCCCTTTTCCCAGACTTCTTCCTGTTCTAGCCAGTTAGGTAAATGTTCAGGAAGGACAGACTTTTAAATTCAACAAACAAAACTTGTAGTATTTTTCTAAGAGATAAATTGTGTTCTGTCTCCAGGATGTCTGTCTCAGGATGCCACTTGCCTGTGGTTGGAAAAGGTCTAATCCTATACAGAAGTGAGAGAGACTGGATAACTGCTTCCCAGATCTTTTGGGAATTTCAGGACAGCTGTAAAATTAGAGTAACTTAGATGCAAGAGACTGCTGGCAGTTATCTGGTCTGAGCCCTTGTTTAAAGCACTATTTTCAAACCCAGAAGTTAGATCCCATTAGGTTAGGTTATTCAGGGCCACATCCAGTCAACTTTTGAATATCAAACCTGCTTTTTCAGGCCCAGGACAGAGCACACACCAATAATAAATCAGTTCCCACTGCTCTGTTAAGTGCAGACCTCATTTCTGTCTGAACAGGATTACGACTTCCTGTACGAAGCCGGCGTTACCAACGTCTTCGGTCCAGGCACTCGGATTCCCAAGGCTGCTGTCCAAGTGCTGGATGACATTGAGAAGTGCCTGGAGAAGAGGCAGCAGTCTATGTAATGCTGAAGGCAACCAGCCTCCCAGAATGGAGTCAGCAGCAAGGGATGGCCAGCCACATACCTTTGGTTCCACTGCCCCGTGGCCTGGTGTTCTGTGCTTTCTAAGAAAGTTGTAAATTCTCTGCTTGTTCTATTTGAGGATTATTTTAATATATATCCCCACAAGAAAATTTTATCTCTACAACTATAACTTGAAGGAATGAAGGGAATTTAGAAGGGTTTGGGTTTTTTTTTTCCAGATATACTGATAAATAAAATATCTGTTCCAGCTCTTTGGTTGATCTCTTCTGCATGCAGAGAACTTCTTTTAAAATTTTTGGCAGGGATTGTAGACCAAGAAATCTTCAGGCAAAATCACTAAAGTTCAGCAGAGATGTGATTGACTCCAGCAGCACTTTAACACTAACCTGATTTAACTCCCTTTAGAAACATATAAGTAGATGAACCAGAATTTTTCAAAGTTCATGGTTTGTTGAATCAGATCCAAATCCTGTATCTGGCAGGAACCTGTGTAGGAGCAGCCGTGCACCTCCACTCTGGCTATATCTCTCCCCTTCCACAATACTTCACTGTCCATCAAATGAAGTTTTTCCAGTGCTCCTCCCTTCCTTAGTTCTCTATTTTCATGCAGTATTGTTCTTGCTACCCTGGTCCATTGAGCAGCTGGACTTTTTTCAGGTAAATCGATCCTAACTTCTCACCATTTTTGTCTCTCCTCCAGGAGGAGTTTGATTTATACATGTGAAAAGTCCTTTGTGGAACCCATAGAAGACCAAAGGAGTGGCAGGGTCTCTTGAGGAGCAGTCTCTGGCATTATGGCCCTACCCCACTTCATTTTGCCTTGTTGCTCATTGCATCCCATCATAAAATGAGGCTGCAGGTCACTCGAGCACATTTACAATCCTGCTTGCCAGCCTTCCATTATTTTCCCACACAAGCCTTCTTGCCAACTGGAAAAATACCCATCCAAAGGGTCGGTGACCTCTAAGCTTTGTCATGCCAGTCATTTCAGTCCATCCATTTCTGTTTTATTGTTTCTTTGCTCTTTCATAATATCTATCATCTCCCTGTGTTTGCCTTACAGATTCCTCTTCTTATTTGAACTTATGATCTTTAAAATGTGCACGTTGTTCCCTTGAACTCAATTAAAAAACCTCAACCAACTTCAGCTGGTATTACTCCAAGCTTTCAATGCTTGACAGAGGGCCCATTGAAGCTCTAGACTAGGACTGACTAAACTATAGTGATTCTTCCTCATCATTTCAAGGTTGGAAAACAAAGTCCTAGGCCAGTGCCCTAGCTGTGAAACTTCCCACTTGATTTTCAATAGTAAAGCAACCTCTTGAGCATGGTAGATGGATCCTGTAGAGGTCAAATTTGTCTAAGGGAGTGGCAATCCATCTTTCTACATGTTTCACAGCCTTCAGGGTTGGTGCTTTTCCACTTCCATTGAGCTGCTCATCAAACCATCAGTGCTTTACGATGATGAGCAGCAAGACTCTGCTGTGTGGGTAAGAGAAGAACACTAGACCAAGCTTACAGGATTCCCCCAAAGTCACACAGCATTATTGGTGAGGTATTGGGGTGGAAGCCAGCTCTCCACAGGGTTTGCCTTGGGTACTTTTGGAGTTTTTCCATGAAATATTAGTACTGGGATGACTGCTGGTGATTGCAAGTGGAAGATGCCCAGACCTGCTCCTGAGGGAAGTGCTTCTGTGCTGCTTCAGGGGATCACTCAGCTGACAACACAGTCCAGGCTGGGCAGGAAATACCATGAAACTGAAGATATAATCTGGCCATAAATTAACTTCCCAAAATTTAAATAAGAACAGCTGATGTCAACACCATACTTGCTTTCCTAGTTCTTTGATCTAGAAGACCAAATATTCCTTTTAAGGCCATATTTTTAAGTACATAACATCAAACCATCTATAATTCAGAGTCTCTAATGAGGAAGTTTTGGTTCACTTCTCACTGAGTCTGAAAATATGAGAAAGGAATTTGAGCCATATTTGATACACAAAGACCTGGGCTTTGATTTTTTAAAAATGAAGTACATGAACAGGTAATAAATCAGGCTATTAAAGCATTATATTGAAACGTTAGCAATATACAGATCTTTTGGCTTTACAGAGATTCTGTCTGTATTGCAGTGGTGTATTTTTCATGTTACACACACTTTAAAAGCATTTCTAAGTAGATGTGGACCTGTTCTGCTCCTAATTTTTCACGGAGGAAGCTCATGTGACATGACACTATTAATGTGCATCTACTGTTCTGCTCACAGACCTGCACTTAGCAGATGGGAAAATACATTTTATTGTTTCTTTCAAACGTCAAGCAACTGAGCAACCGAAAGCAAAAATTCCAAGGCAGAAGATGGGTATTAAAATAGTTTCATTTTCCTATCAGGTTATTTTTTTAAAGCTGCAAAAGGGCTGAAAATTGCCATGGACCATACGAGTGCCCAGACAGCATTTTCCAGGGTTTCCTCCCCCCACTGACACACTCCTCTTCTGGTTTGCACTATTACCCCTTTTCCATTTTCCTCTGCCATCTCCTCACCCTCCTCACAAACACACTTGTCTCTCTTCTGCCTCTTCCCAAATACTCTCCCTCAGCTTTCACATGCTCCTCTCTCAGTTACCCATGTTTCCTCCTGCTCCTCACACTCCTCTTCCCTTTTCCCAGACTGTTTCCCAGAGGATGTTTCACCTCGTTGGGAGAGAAAACTGAGGGCAGTCTCATTCCACATGGAGCATCTGTGAGTGACAAACAAGGACAAGAGAATGTCTCCCTGGAGAAATGTCTCCCAGTCCACAGTAACAGAACTCCTCATAGCCACAGAAGTGTTTATCTTTTATTCCTGTTCTTAGCCTTAGCTGCAGTTCATAAAATTAAACTAATTATTAGGGTTTAATGGTTTTCAATATCTCAAAGGCCATTCAATATTGGTTTTAGATTGTTGTTTAAGATCTGTGCCAAATCTGCCTGTCATTTAACTCTTCTTGTCTTCACTAAACCTGATACAAAGATAGATGTGGTCAGCTGAGCAAGCAGGAGAACTGCTGCAGCTATCAAGCCAGAGTTAGTACATTTCAAACCCTGAAAAGATGTGTTTATGTCCTTTAAAATCCCAAACAGTGAGGCAGAGAGAGGACTGAAGGAGCTCACAATTTCCAGCTCCAGATCTCTTGCTGCAGGTGGCTGGCAGGATGATGTTATGGTGGTACCTGTGCTTTGAAGGGAAACAGCAGACTGATCTCAGCTGGGGCTGTGCCAGTGCTCTAACCAGTGGGGAGCTCAGTGCCTCAGGAGCTCCCACTGAAGCAATGAAGCTTGGAGTGCATCTGCAGGGTTACTTACTGCTGGCCAGGCCGTCCTGGGGGTGTCTTTTGGCACGCTCTACAGAATGCTCCTCCAGAAAACAAACTCTACAACAGCTTTTGTGGTAGAAGAGCTGTTACACCTCAGCAAGTGCACGGTTCCTTCTTCTAGGATGTTCCTTCACTTCTCACCCTGCTATTTGTGATGCACAGAAGGCATCCTTCACGGACTCCCACATTCCCACCTAACTGCTTCAGACAGAGGCTGCTCTCCTCATGTTCATTTTTCTGTTTTAAGGAGCTGGAATGATCCTTCTGACAAAGGAAGGAACTGTAGAACTCTGTAAGACATTTTACAGCAGCCCCTTGATCATCTTTTCCATATTTCTTCCTACCCATATGGTTTTCTGTCCCTTCACGGACTCCCACATTCCCACCTAACTGCTTCAGACTAAGGCTGCTCTCCTCATGTTCAGTTTTCTGTTTTGAGGAGCTGGAACAATCCTTCTGACAAAGGAAGGAACTGTACGACTGTACAACACTGTATGACACTGAACTCTAAGACATTTTACAGCAGCCCCTTGATCATCTTTTCCATATTTCTTGCTACCCATATGGTTTTCTGTCTGTCCTGCTGGAAAGCCCCACTCCCAGCTGTATGTGTTTGCTAACACTTTGCATTCTCCCTGTGGTTTTCTCTGATGGCTGTTCTACTGATAGAGCCAAGAGTCTGCAGACAGGTTGCATTAAAAAGTCAGAAGTCTAAGAAAAATAAAACAAAAAAAATAAATCCTCTTAGAAGGGTAACTGTTTCCCTGAAAATAACCTTTGTTTCCATGGGCTTATGTTTAGCACATAAATCTATTTATTTCCTCTAAAGTGGAAATTCTTGGCAAAAAATAGCGAGGTTGCTTTTTTTGGTGTGTAGCTTAAAGACAATATTTGAGAGCTGCTTAAAAATATATACTTAAACCTCTGTATCTGACAAAAGCTATGCAGTAACACCCCCGCCTGCTGCTAACCTGGAGCCGGGAGTGAGCCCGGGTTTGGAGCTGCGGTGTGAAACATCAGCGAGCTGCAGCTCCCTGCTGCTCCCCCTTGGCGGCCGAGGAGAGGCGGCCGTTGTCCCTCCCGCTCCACATCGTGGAGAGGGGGTTCTCGGCGGCGCTGTCGGCGCTGGGGAAGCAAACCCGCCAGGCACAGCAACAGCGCAGGCGGCTCATCTCCCGCCGGAAGGTTTTGCTGAAGATGTAGTAAATGAAGGGGTTATAGGCGGTGGAAGATTTGGCAAAGAGACAGGGCAGCAGCGTGACGACGGGCTGCAGGGAGTCGCTGGAGTTAAATATGGACCAGAAGCTGGCTGCTGCATATGGTGTCCACGAGCTCAGGAACCCCACCGAGATGAGCACAGCCATCTGAAAGGGAAACAGGGCTTCAGTTCCGTTGGCACGGACAGGGTCTGATGCCCAGGCGTGTGGTGTGTGGGTGACACCACAGCTGAGCCAGCTGAAAGAGCTGAAAGCGTGCTCGCTGTGCTGTCACAGGAGCACAGGTAACACTGCACAGTGCATAGCTGCTTTATTCCCACCCAGCAGATCTACACTGTGGGTTCCTTATGAGGCACTTGTTTTGATCTCCTTCCCTGACTGGCTGCAACATGTCACTGGAGACACAA